GAGCTACCTGCAGATGGGCCCTGTCCACCACTGCCAGTAAGTGTGGCCCATCTACGGCACTACACTAACATGACTTATTCAATGTTTGACGCTTATAGACAAAAGGTTACATGTACGCACACCATCAGACAAGTATTCATTCTAAATTATTGACAGGCATATTAACAAAATTGAATTACTGCACTGAAATATACTGAATCAGGTTACATCATATTAACAAGAAGCTAATTAAAAAAAATATGCACCGTCTGCTTAACAGTGTATGTACAACATACTAATGCACCATTCAAAACGAGTCGGCCATTGCATGCTGGCATCTGGGTCAACATTTAGCAAATTCCAAACATTACCTACAAACTCCACAACCAAGATGCCACATCAACCATCGCCCCCTACTGACAGGCTTTTGTCCACATGCAGGCCGGTGCAGGGCCACCACCTTGTGCCACACAGGGGCAGCTGCTACTTGGAGATGCTCTTAGAGTGTTTGAAACGAGATACGATACAAAACTCCGAGTTGCCGAGGCGATTAAGCAAGCACCATATAAATGCAATTTATAACAGTGAATGCTTTGGAGCTTATTGGCTCCCACTCCTGGTTAGAGATCTACCCAACACACAGGTCCACAAAGACTGGCCGCTCTTACCCTGCAGGTTGAACCTAGGAACCGAGTGTTCAACTTCACATTTTTGTCATTCAAGGCCTGTGACAAAGGTGCATCTGATAATTGGTTCTTTTACCCTTCTATCTGGCAACAAAACTGACACCTTTTTGCAAGGAGTCATGTTTGCATAGACCGCAATACCTGCAGTCATAATACAAACAAAAGAACATAACTCTGATAATGTGCACTGTCCTTGAAGTTGATTGGTCCACACCCGAGACAGCTTTCCTTCGAGCCTAGTCTCATATGGGTTGGACCAGATGACGCCAAAAGGCGCACAACTCAAGGACAATGCACCATCAGAGTATGAGAGCTCGGGGCAAGCATCTACACTATGGGGACCTCATTTGCCAGATAGAAGGGTAAAAGAACCAATTATCATATTTTTACTGGCAAATGAGGTCCCCATAGTGTAGATGCTTGCCCCGAGCTCTCATACTCTGATGGTGCATTGTCCTTGAGTTGTGCGCCTTTTGGCGTCATCTGGTCCAACCCATATGAGACTAGGCTCGAAGGAAAGCTGTCTCGGGTGTGGACCAATCAACTTCAAGGACAGTGCACATTATCAGAGTTATGTTCTTTTGTTTGTATTATGACTGCAGGTATTGCGGTCTATGCAAACATGACTCCTTGCAAAAAGGTGTCAGTTTTGTTGCCAGATAGAAGGGTAAAAGAACCAATTATCATATTTTTACTGGCAAATGAGGTCCCCATAGTAAAGGTGCATCTATTGGAGCGACATCGTCTCTGGCTTACACATCTACCGGGTCTCCATTTGACTTTGTATTGTCTCGGAGGAAGTCCACCCACACCTCCACTTCCACAAACTGCTGGAAGTTGCCTCGCTCTGCCTCACTGTCAGAATTCTCCTCCTGCTTCACGTTGCCTCCATCGATGTGAAGGTCCCATTTTGGAGTTGAATCTTCATCTTCACATTTTACCTTCACTTCTTCGCTCTTCACCATCACGTCTTCACATTTCACCTTCACTTCTTCGCTCTTCACCATCACGTCTTCACATTTCACCTTCACCTCTTCATATTTCACCTCGTTACCTTTAAAAGTGTCCAAGCTGGGATTCTTTTCCGGTTCTTGTTTGATAAGGGATGGGCTCATTGCAGCACTTTGACTTTCACAAGCTGATTTCAGACTCCACTCCTGGTGGATCTTCTGATGCTTGTGTGTTCTCTGGTGTCTTTGAAGATGTGGTGACTGTGCAAACGCCTTCCCACACATACTGCACTTGAACGGTTTCTCTCCCGTGTGTGTTTTCTGGTGTGCAACAAGAGTATATGAAAGTGCAAACGCCTTCCCACACACACTACACTTGAAGGGTTTCTCTCCCGTGTGTGTTCTCTGGTGTTTTTTAAGAGTCGATGAACGTGCAAACGCCTTCCCACACACACTGCACTTCAAGGGTTTCTCTCCTGTGTGTGACCTCTGGTGTGTTATAAGAGAAGATGAATGTGCAAACGCATTCCCACACACACTGCACTTGAAGAGTTTCTCTCCCGTGTGCGTTCTCTGGTGTTTTTTAAGATTTGATGAAAGTGCAAACGCCTTCCCACACACACTGCACTTGAAGGGTTTCTCTCCCGTGTGTGTTCTCTGGTGTGTTACAAGAGATGATTGTGCAAACGCCTTCCCACACACACTGCACTTGAAGGGTTTCTCTCCCGTGTGTGTTCTCTGGTGTTCTACAAGACCAGATGACTGTGCAAACGCCTTCCCACACACACTGCACTTGAAGGGTTTCTCTCCTGTGTGTGTTCTCTGGTGTCTTTGAAGATGTGGTGACTGTGCAAACGCCTTCCCACACACACTGCACTTGAAGGGTTTCTCTCCTGTGTGTGTTCTCTGGTGTGTTACAAGAGCAGATGAATGTAAAAATGTCTTCCCACACACACTGCACTTGAAGGGTTTCTCTCCCGTGTGTGTTCTCTTGTGTGTTACAAGAGCACATGAATGTGCAAACGCCTTCCCACACACACTGCACTTGAAGGGTTTCTCTCCCGTGTGTGTTCTCTTGTGTGTTACAAGAGCAGATGAACGTGCAAACGCCTTCCCACACACACTGCACTTGAAGGGTTTATCTCCTGTGTGTGTTCTTTGGTGTTTTACAAGATGAGCTGAACGTGTAAACGCCCTCCCACACACACTGCACTTGAAGGGTTTCTCTCCTGTGTGTGTTCTTTGGTGTTTTACAAGATGAGCTGAACGTGTAAACGCCTTCCCACACACACTGCACTTGAAGGGTTTTTCTCCTGTGTGTGTTCTTTGGTGTTTTACAAGATGAGCTGAACGTGTAAACGCCCTCCCACACACACTGCACTTGAAGGGTTTCTCTCCTGTGTGAGTTCTCTGGTGCCGTGTCAAATGTTCAGGACTATCCGTGCTGTATGCACACCGGTCGCATTGTTGCCTTTTTGCACCGAGCCGCGCCGAGAGCCTTTGCTCCATCAGACCACTTCTGCAGAGGCAGCGATAGCTGCAGACAGAAACAAAGAATATCCACACCATCTACACATCAGTATCGAGGCACAGAGGAATGCATATACACAGTCACACGTGACTTACACGTCTATAGTTATTCATATATTTATGATATAGTAAAAAAAAAAGTGTCCCAAATTCATCACACGGGCTGTTATGGCACACAATGAGAGGCCAAATGGTCATAAACATGCCTGGAAGCCCTCGTATCTTCAAAATAAACGTTAACCCAAAACTCAGCACACAATTTCAGCTGTTTGGCTTCTAAATAAATGTTTATGAAAGCTAAATTCAGCTGACATAGAAAAAGGGTGTTGAAAATAATACTATTTGTGTTCTGCACAAATGCATAAATTAATGTTCAATCGCAATTTAGGTGTGAAGCCAGGCACAGATGTCCTTGATTGCTGGGATGAGCAGTTCCGACTTCAGCTGCTGCACGTGTGTGCTGTGATCACTTCCTGACTCCATTCTTACAAAGAGTTCCAGAGGAAAACTAAAATAAACTACTGTTTTGATATAACCTCTGTGCTCAATAGAGTTAATGCAAATACAAACTTGACACTGTCACACACTCAGAGGTGGAGCCAGGATTTTCAGGTAGGGGGGGGAAACCCCTCCAGCAATGAAAAATTACAGGAGTTGTTAGTAAGTAAGGAGTTGTTAGTGAAATAGGAGTTGTTAGTAAGAACGGACTTGTCCTTTGCTTTTCATTCGACGCGTGTGATCGTCATCGCGCTCGCTGAACGTGTTGATGCCTTCAGGAAACAAAAAGAGACTTTTGTATTTTGGGGGGGGGGGGGGGGGGGGGATGACCATGACGTATGTGGCATCAACCCGCATCACACCTGAGCTAAGCGCTCTGCAACGCTTACCCCCCTACCACATTGTTGTATCCTAACCCTTCTTCCATAATTGAGATTAATAATATTTGATGATTTTTATATATTATCTTTTTACTTGTTTTTTTTAATGAGTGAAACACACCAAGCGCAGCAAACTGCAAAACACCAGGTGTTGTTAAGTAATGAACCGGAGGAGGGCTAGGATGGCAGAATTTGCAACCTTGCTTCAAGGAAAGATAAGGCCTGATGAACGGGCACATGTCACCCGTGCAAGGGCAGAGACAGTGGGAGTGTCAGCCAGACATAGTTAAGGCAAAAAGCCCAACTATCCTGCATGGTTTTAAAGTAACGTCAAAATTCGAAATTCAACAACAGAGTAGGCTAAATTATCGATCCTCGCGCTCGCTCAAATTGGAGACCAGGCTGCGAGCTACATAAATGAACCATTGCCCATTTGCTAATCCAATACTGAATGTTAATATTACTGAAGTCAAAACGGATTCTATGACCTCAGCACATGGGCAAATAATAGGGCAGTGTCGACTCAAAGGCAATGGAAGAAAACAGAGGCGCCTTTGTCTAAATCACAACCACAGAAAGCCAGGAATCATCACTGATTGTGTGTTCAGGGATTCCGAGCTAGTTAGAACACGTGCACAGGGGGGGGGAGCTGATGTAAACAACCCTGCGCGTCTGAATGTGAGGGGGCCTTGGACCTGGAATTAAGAATAACACTCCCAGAGCAGAAGGTTGGACAGGGGGGGAGCTGATTTAAAAGAGTGTTGTATATCTCTCAAGGCGGGCAAGACCCAGCTAAATAACAAGGCTGCGGGGGTCACCAGAAGTTCGCATTCGCCTAGTTAAGACAAAAAGCTCAATTATTCTGTATTGCTATTAAAGTAACGTTAAAGTCGGAATTTAACAACAGGGTAGGCTAAAGTTATTGATATTCACACCCACTCCAATTAAACCAGGCCACAAGTTACGCCTACTGAACCATCACCATTATTAAGTCAATATGAAATGTTATTTCCATACTTTAATACTTTCTATACAACTCGACCCGAAGCATATGACAATCAGAACCTTCCTAAGTCAAAATTGAATCGCACCCAGACAGGAGCGAATAGTCGATATAAGGTTGACGAGGGAAGGAAATTAAGAGCACGGCGAACTGCAAACGTAAGCAAAAAGCCGGGAACAACACCAGCCCAGCAACAGCGAGTGGGGCTTCGACAGGCCATAAAGTAGAATAATAACTCCCGGGGTCAGGGGACACAAGAAGAAGCAGGCAGACAAAAACCAGAACTGACTCCAAGGTTCAACCGCCCTCACCTACTCAGGAGGGACGGAAATTAATGAGGCCTTGAGTTAACGGCTCAGCTGGACGGCAACAACAACGGCGAGCAGAGAGAGGGTGGGGCAAAGACTGCGGGGCTATGAAATGCAACTTCGTGTCAGTAAAGCTCTGACAAACAAGTTAAGTTAAAGACATCACAATACATAATATCGCACATAACATCAATGTTAACGCTATTCACCGTAAACTATATTCCGCTTATATAACCATGCAGACACCAAGGAATACGAATTCCTAGGATCGAGAAGCTTACCCCTTGACCTAAGATATCGGAAATAAGTTAATAATAATAAGCACATGCATGAAAAGACAAAGTAAAACTTATGAAAAGCCAGGATAACGGGATGAATCACCACCAGGTCGAATATGAATACATAATAAAAAAAAACGATGTTAAACCCAGGGTCGGAGAGAAAGGGAGATCCCGGCCGTCTTTGTATCCCCGCAGCGCGGGATAGGAGTGTGTATACGCTCGGGGAAACACCTCCACTTGAGTCAAGCACCACGATGGGAAACGACAGACCTTAGGTTACATACAGAATCATAACTGTGAAATAGTAAGGGACAAATGTTAACTTAAAACTTTTTAACCATTTCTTTGTGCGCCGGGTCGGAGAGAGTGTTGCCCCTCCCTCCAGGTTGTGCAACACGAACAAAGACGCCTATGAGACGATTTGTAACGTCTGTGTTTTGGGTTCATGAAGAAGGCCAGACAAGAGATAATATTGCACCCAGACAGAGAGACGACCTCGAGGCAATTTGTAACATCTGATTGTTTGCTCGTGGGTTTATGGAGGGAGTGTGACAACGGAATATATCGTGGGTGATGCACACAAGGACATACGGACGTACGGACACACACATGGACACACCTGCCTACGGACAGATCCTGACACAAAAAAAATCGAAAGAAGTCCCGCCTTGTGGGCGGGATCCAGGGGGATTTTTCGGCATAAAGTAAAGGATCCTGAGCATTGGAAACCAGTGCGACGGGAGGGTCGACTCAGGAACGAGTGCAACGGGAGGGTCGACTCAGGAACGAGTGCGACCAGAGTGGGTCCACTCAGGAGTGCGACCAGCGGGTCCACTCAGGAGTGCGACCAGAGGGTCGACTCAGGAGCGAGGGCGACCAGCGGGTCGACCCAGGAGCGAGCTCGACCGGGAGGGTCGACTCAGGAGCGAGCTGCGACCAGCGGGTCGGCTCGACTCATCTTCAGCTCGTCAACCTCTGCCGAATCGGGGGTCTCTGCTGCCACCGGAGTGGTGAGCATCGCGGTTCGGCGACAACCCAGAGCTGCACGCTACGAGCGAGTTGTGGGCGCCACCTACCGACCGGGTTCCGAACTGCGACAGCGTATCAACAGCCATCCGAACCAGTTCGCCACGGTGACAGGGGATCGACTGATACGTATGACGCGCACCGCCCCCTCACCACACGACCACCAGGCGTCTGTTTGACCTAAAGAATCGACTCCGAACACTGACTATTCAAGACAACTCTTACCACTCAAAAACACTCGAACCCATAAGCCATCCGTGGCTGGAAAGCATCACAACGAGACCGAGTGATGGCCCTCCGTCGTTTATAAGAGTATTCTTAATTTTTATCTTTAATATTTAGTGGGCTGTACTCTTAATCGCATAAATTCCCAACAGATCCATCAATACGAACTGATTCTTGGCACCTCCTTCCGCCGAGCCACGCTCACGTGGGGAGTGGTGGCCCACCGGATCCTTATCAGGTGATCTGGTCCCCAATTAGTAAACTTGGTATAAGATAACGAGCTTCGGAAAAGGAGCACCGTCGCAGGCCCTTACTCCGAGCCGTTCTGTTGTCAGATAACCTGCCGATGTATCTGTTGAGATTGGTGCCTTTAAGAATAATAACTGTTTTGATTGTGTTTTTTTTTTATCGCCGTATAATCTTTCAAGTATCTTTTAATCATAATCGCCGCACGTACTCGCATCCTCTACAAATATTCAACTGTCCCGTGACCCAAGGTGCTAACAACGTGATAAGGGTTGCGTATGATCAATAAGGAGTGCGGTACTGCGTGAACAATATTGAGTATAATCATTCATTAACGTTAAGGTTTTCTTAGCATAGTATTTGCATGTTTTAACGACTCTCTCTCTCACTAGCAACCATCGCGTTATGCGGGATCCATGTGCAGTTGTCAAAGTGAAATCAGACAATCGTTGATGATACTGTATTGATGCCGTGTTGACGTTCCGAGATTGAGAGTTCGCATATTATATCATAGTTAAGGTTGAATTAGTAATAAATTGATCAATACAGAAGTGGTTGTGTGATTCTTTCCTGAAATCTATGCATAAGATCTGCTTCTGCGTTGAGATTTGAACTTGGTGACCTTAATAAACACACTAATACATACTCAGTAAATGTTAAAGCGATAACGGGGTGACCCGGGGACCTAAAAATAACCACGAATACACACTCTGGGAATGTTAAAGCGAGAATGAGACGAACCTAAACAACGATGCCGAGTTAATCTAAGTTAATCTTGCATACTTACACCACACCTGCATAACTGCATACGATTAATTGCCTTATTCCGATCAATAACCCACCCTCGTCACCGAGGCGGGGTCTGGTTATCATAACGACTTGCATTATCATAATTACACCCACTCGCATAATTAATACGATTACCTCTCGAATTGGCATAATTAAAATGTGCATAATTACATAAATTAACATATTTCCGGATAATTACACATTTGGCCAAATTTCATTTAATTATTATTATTTTCACTGAATATTCATAACCCACATATACAACATAATAATTTCACCCACGCACGCATACAACATAACAAATTTTCATAACCCAACATATACAACAACATGGCTCTTCGCGCGCCGTACTTCTACAGCTGTTCACAGCGTGCCGGGAGATTTTAGGTGGCGCTTCGCTCCTGGCCGATAAAGTCAATGGCTTCTCGGAGTTTCAATACTAATCCGCGTGAAGAACGGGTACAACTGCCATCTTAAATATAAAGCAGAACTTACATCTGTTTGTTTGTGTGAAGCAGCAAAAACTCTCCAACGCCGAGCTCTGGCGTCATGAAATTTTCACAGCTTATGCTGTCTGGAATGTCTAAGCGAACGCCACGTCATTCCCTTCCCGAGTGGCAAAAATCGACCTGACGTAGCAGTGGGTTCAGGTTGAATTTCCTTGAGTGAAAACATCCGATTTAGGTAAATTGAAGTGTTTCGGCTTCCTTCTTGCAAGCATCAATTTTTTCGGGGGTTTTTCATTGAATTATGAGGGAATATTAAATTAATCCAAGACAAGAATCTAAGTCCCGGGCAAAGCCGGGTAGTGAAGCTAGTTACTAATAAACCCCAATGATCCTATCGAAATTACGGATTTCTATCGGATCGTTGGGGGGGCACGTGCCACCCCACCCCCACTGGCTCCACCACCGTCACACACTGGCACGGTTCACAGGTGGTGGTGTGTCCAGACCCACGCCTGGCCACCTTCACCTGCTCAGTATTAATACTTCCTCACTCCACCAAGTAATTCATCGAGGATCAACCAA